TAAAGATAAAATAATGAATTAAATAATAGCATACGACGTTTCGATTGCAACACAAGCAATCATCATCATCAGGTATAATGAAATAGCGACATAAAATCTAACCAGAAAACTATAGACAGACATATAAGCAGACAAATATCACCAAGATACATAGAGAGAGCAGCCCTCAACTATGCTCAAAAGAAGGGGGGGGGGGGTGGAACAGTTGGCGAGCCCGCGCTGTTAACTCAAACGACCCGAGTTTAAACCGGCTCCTTGGGCCTCTTCTGTCCTACACCAACCCTCACCAGGCCAGCGTGGTGAGGTACGGTCGTCCGGCAGTGGATTGGAGTTGGGGCTGTACATTATATTACATTGTAATGTATCTCCGGATCGATCACTTTGTATCGAGGTACGTTGCGTGCGGTCGCTGGTGGTGGCAGGGAAAGGGGTTTGATGCTGGGAGGTCGGGAGGGTTTAGTCGCCGGGGTCGCTGTCTGATTGGCCCTTAGGGTCACGAGGTTCGCAGGTGGCTTGAGGGGCGGCACGGGGTGGCAGCCCGCAGAGGACAGATCATGATATGGGACACTGTGTTCGTGCCCTCTGTTAGGTCACTGGCCGTCGGTCCACAACTTGGGGGGGGGGGGGGGGGGGTGGCACAAGGCATTGGGTTTTAAAATTTGTTATTTTGCTCACGGTGCGTGCATCGAATCCCATGCGTAAGAGCTGACGTGTTTTATTTGTTTGTGTGGTATGCCGCTTCATCAACCCGCGGTGAAGTATGGTCAAACAACTTCCCATGCGTGACACGGTACTGGGGAGGCATTCATCCCCCGGTGGATTGACAAACAGCTTCACCTTACCATTGTTATTGTGAAGCATTGTATGTATGTACATTGCACTTGTTTTGCACCGCATGCCATTGGTTCACATTACCCCTGCAGTCACTACAGGCCGCTACATCCAAAGACATATTTATAGAGAGAGAATTGATTCTCGATGCTGAATCGGAGGAAGAAAATGTCCAGTGTTTATCCGATGGCAGCGTTAGGTGCGGGCAAAGCCAGGACCTGATTAAACATCCGCTCACCACCGACGTGAGGAGTGGGCCCGCCGTGATGATTTCTATCTTCGAGAAAAAATTTGGGGCCGCGTATGCGGGCAAGTAGCCGGGTCCGTTGATTCACCGGACGGATAAGATGAGGAGGAATCTGGGGTTCGAACGATGGACAACGGAGCGAGGCAACCGCTCGTTTCTTGCGGCATACGGTGGAGGGGGAGGGCGGCTCGCGGTTTTCGGAATGAGGGCGCAGTGGAGGCGACTTTATGGGGTCTTTCTTTCCGGAGTCATTGGCCAGCACCACTGCCACCGCATCCTTTACAGTCGTTTCATCGTTCCGGAAAGGCATTTTTCTTTTGGTCCTCCTTGCCTGGGCAATGATGTAATCGCGTGATAAAAAGCAAAAGGACAAAAGCGAAGTTTTAAAATAGCCGACAATCTTATTTCCTGCTTGTGAAAGGGACGCGCTACCCCTCACCCGATTATCGGCTGGATTTAGGTGATCATAAAGTTATCTTACATTTACGTCCTGACAAATAACATTTAGGTTATAATGCCTCTGTAGCTGAATGACAAAAACTACTGTTCATGAACATGAACAAATCAAACACTTTTAGTTAAACTAACACTTTGAGAGAACATGGCAATAGTGTTTCTAATAAGTTGCGTCATATGCCCGTGAACATGTAATGGATTGCCTGTTATTTTCAACTCGACACAATCGCGCAGTTGCAAGATATTTCCATTTTATATTCACTCGCACAAACCCCGCCGCATGAGGTTTCAAGCCTTCACATTGTAGACCAGCCCGTCCGCACCGTGCTCTGTAAAGTTTCACATTCCACGTGAAACGAGGCACCGTCTGTCCTACGATTAAAGGGTTCTCACCTAGTTTTGATTTAAAGCTTTCGGGACTGCAGGGATTCATATTCTTGGTTCATTCGGTAAAGTCACGTAGAAGGGAAATAATAAAATAATAAAAATATAAAACAATAAAAAATTCTCACGACGTTTCGACTGCAACACAAGCAATCGTCATCAGGTGTGAAATCCACAGCAAGAAAATTTGAAAAATTTGAATTTTTTAAAAATGTTCTTGCTGTGTTGCTTGTGTTGCAGTCGAAACGTCGTGAGAATTTTTTATTGTTTTATATATTTTATTATTTTATTATTTCCCTTCTACGTGACTTTAACGAAAAGAACCAAGAATATGGTTCTCACCTCGTTTTAATTAAAGGTCCTGTGCGGTGTGTACGCTGTGTACGCCCTATACGTGCGTGCTGTGTGTACCAAGGGTATAGGACACGCGCACACAGCAACGCCCATTGTTTTTTGTTCAATACGCGGGCGAATTGAGGGCAGTGGGAACACAAGAGGCGTTCTGTTTTTAAATCGTCGCAACGTCTCTCCGCTCAACTGACCCAACATCGGGCGTGACAGACCCGTAACGCCGGGGATGGGGGTTACGGGGGGCTCAGAGAGACCCCCTTTTAATGATGAATGCCCCAATGGCGGGTTTTTCTCGTGTAACCCATGCCCACTCACACGGACTGCGCCTCGCTGCGGTGTCCTTGATTTAATTCGCAAGAGATGATGATGACTATTATGGTTATCAGCTTCTTATTATGATGACGGTAATATGCAAACTGTCTGCAGTAGCCGGAGGGAGGTGGACGAATTGCACTAATGAGCACATGGAAGCAATGGGGGCGTAGCGACAGCCGTTCCTCGCATGGAGGGGGAGGGTGGTGGTGGGGAATGGGGGGGCCAGAGCAGAATGCACAATAGGACAAGAGCAGAGATCGTATCGTAACTCATTCTGCTCGGTGTTTACCGTTTGTTTAACGTTTGTTTGACATCGACCTCCGCCGTGCCCCCCACCCCGCTCCAGAGGTTTGTACTCCTCCCTTTAAACAAGGCCACGCTGGTACAGGGTTGAACGGGGGGAGGGGTGGGTGGAAATTCCACATTCCCATGGCAGAGAGCAGTGCTATTCATATGAAGTACACTGTTAACTTCGGGAGCAAATTTAGACTTAAAACTTTCGTGACTGCAGGAATTCATAGTCTTGGTTCTTTCGGTAAAGTGACATAGATAGAAAACAAAAAGCTAAATTTAAAGCAAAAAAAGGCAAAAAAACCCCACGACGGTTTCGATCGCAACACAAGCGGTCTTCTTTTAGATTTTCGGGAGCAAATTTTGACCGCCGGTGAGAACAACATCCGAGACATGCGAGGGCAAAGTTATTTATTTATTTTACCAGGTAAGGCCTCCACTGAGCTACGTGAGCCCCCGTTTTCAGAAGCGATCTGGCCATCACAAATGACAACTCAACGAAGTGGCTCGTCGTTTCGGATGAATCTGTCGATTCTGCCGGCCTGTGCCATCCCTCTGCCACGACCGGTTCGCTGGGCTCATCACCCAAAACTGGAGGTCATCCCGGGGGACAAAGATGCTCAAACTTTTATTCCATACAAACCGAGCGTGCGGTTTTGCGGCGCGTTTACGGCTCGATGCACATACAAGCCGAACTCTGTTTTCTGCTTCGCCTGCCCGAGTAAGACCGGCGACGATAAAATATATTTATTAATGCCTGGGGTTCGACAGAACACAGTTGTGCTCTGTGTTTGTGTGTTCTCGCTCAATCCGTAGCATTATTGTGTGGAGCTTTATGGCTCGGGGAGTAATGAAACGCTTTACATCGGCTCATTCGCTCGCAAATCAGATGATTGTGTTGTACCAACAAGCCATCGTAGCTGGGCCCACAACGGAGCAGTCTCCCATGTAGGGCTGCCCCGTGTAGCTGGCGTATTGTTGGAACTTAATGACGGCTCTCTGCGGGCCTCTAACGAAAGGGTGTCGGTTGCACTCGTTAAAGTGGGGGTCGTTACGGAGCTACTGGTTTCGCCGTGCAGAGGTGGGAGGTGGTGGGGGCAGTTGTCTCGAGCGGGGTTTTACGCGGGCCACTGTTCGAGTGGAATTAAATTTGAGGACTGGGCCTTTAAAACAACGGCGACAACACAGCTGCGACCCGGCGGCCGCTTGTGCCACACAGCCACGATTGTTGATGCAACAACGCCCGCTGCAGCGTCGTTCCCTGTGCCTGTTATAAAGGCAAAGGTGCAGCCCTGCAAGCACTCCGCTCACGCCGTTGCCGGTGGAAGGGGCCTCCGCTAGAGCAAGCTTTAGAGCCGGGGTCGGCAACAAAAATAACAAGATGAGGCATTTTTTTTCGAATTCGGTACAAAGTTCAATATTTCAAGAGTCGCAATGCAAGTGAATACATACATACATTACGTCACGTAAAGAGCCTCATGCGGGTCCGGAGCCGCAGGTTGACGATCTCTGCTCTAGAGCCACTTGTCCTCGCCGGCCAGACGTCTTGGAAGATGTGGGCACACGTACTTTACCCCGCCACCCCCACACACGCTACATTTTTTTTATTTGATCAGAAAAGGCAGAAGCCACCTGGCCACAAGTGATAGCCCAACAAAGTGGCTTATCACGTGGGAGTTTACAGCAGCCAAATACTCTAAATACGTGTTTCCTAAATGTGGAGGGAAAAATCGGAGGACCCGGAGAAAAATCCACGCAACCATGGGAGGAACATAAAAACTCTAAATATACGCATGTCAGGGTCAGGATCCAACCGACGACCTCCTGTATACCAGGCGAGAGAGTTAACATCTCACCATCGTGGCGCCCATTGCCGATGAACTGTGACGTGTGCCCGTTTATACCGCTGGGGAAGGGGATTTAAGAAACGGGCCCCGTTTGTTGCAACTGCTGCGCTGGGAGTTCAAAGCGTAAACCGGCGATCTCTGCGTGGCATGTCCGGCGTGCTCGCAATCGCCGCACAGCAGTAGGGGACCCGTCGGTCGCTTGCAAATGAGTTTCGTTCCGGGTTTCCGGGTTAATGTTCACGGAGCGTTAATCGCTTTGCTCATTGTGTGTTCCGCAGACGTTCACAGCATGGTGCAACTCCCACCTGCGCAAGGCCGGCACGCAGATCGAGAGCATCGACGAGGACTTCCGGGATGGCCTGAAGCTCATGCTGCTGCTTGAAGTCATCTCGAGTGAGTGGGAACACAACCGAAAAAACGAAACACCCGTGTTGTGGCCTTAACGGACTGCGGGGCAAATGCCGTTCGCAAGTAGCACCTGTGAAGGCCGGCAACGGCACACGATTTGAGGTGGGTGGCTAACACCACTCCCGGCCGCCTTTGTCTTCCCAGTGGCAATGTTTATTCAATGCACGAGGTACGATGAAATCAGCTCCTGTGCAGGTGCTGAGTGGATTGTTGCATCACGGAACTGTGGGAGGTGGCCACAGCTTTGGGAAGGGGGGGGGGAAGGCCTCCAACCAGCAGTAGATAGTGATGATGACAGTGATGATGACCATTGACTTATTTCACGAGGGTGGCGACGCTGGCGGTCAACGTGATCCCACACAGTGCCAGTTGACAGAGGCAACTGAGTCTGGGTGCTCCGGTTTCATCTCGCATGTAAACACTCATGAATTGGCGAGTAACACCTTAATATATATTTAGGATCACAGAGCTTGGGCAATCGTTGACGCCGGCTCGCCGACCAGCTGCTGCTTTCCCACCCGTCTCGCCTCTGATTTGTCCTCTCTATTTCTCTCTCTCGTTGAGAGTGAGCGACTACTGGTTCAACAGCGTGGGACAAGTTGTCATCATCATTCTTATTATTATTCGTCATTTCTTTGGGGAGGGACTTCCAAAGTGCTCGGGGTTTATGTAAAGTGGGGGCATCGCCGCGGTGACATCGTCCGCTGGCGTCGCTCGCCGTGTGATCTCACACCACGGACCCCGGTGCACTACATTCGCAAATTGCCTGCAACTAAACGGGTCGACGTTTGCGCCTTGTGTAAGCACAGCAGTCACTCGGGGCTCGCGTGCAACAGAGGCGTGTGGAACTCTGCAGGCTCGCGCTTGTTCACATTACGGACACGGAGATGTGTCGTGCCATGTCATCGCCTCTGTATTGTGTGCAAAAGTTTAGGCGCACCCCTGCAATTGCTTGCGCGCGCCACAGCTGCTGGAAGGGTTTCCATCGAGGAAACTCGCAAGAGAGCCCCTCTAGAGTAGTGGTTAACCTGGGGTGCGAGATGCCCGTACGAGACATGGCCAGATATTTTTTAGAAGGTAAATAATTGAAACACAAATTAAGACGGTGCACGCAAGTACAACTTTTTGTTTCCTCAAACCTGTGTGCTTATTAACATTGTACATTTTTATCGGTTGAGAACCAAAGGGGGGTGCAGGCTGCAGTCAAATTAAGAGCCACTGGTTTAGAGAGGGCACTTTGACCTCCTCGTTCACACTGGATAGATGTCATCAAAGAAGTGGGGGGGGGGGGGGGGGATACCCACACTTGACCCCACCACTCGTGACCTTTTGATCAATTAACTGTGGTGCAGTCATCTATACCTGCTGGTAAGAGTACGTGTCGATAATGATAATAATCATATGGCCCTTCATCAATCCACTGATGAATGAAGGCCTGACCCACGTCACGTCAATCCAGGGGATTGTTTGACCATACTTCACCACGCTGGTCAGTGCGGGACGGAGCATTATAAGTTCATTACGACGAATGATTTTGCCGCACCGCCCTACGCTGCCCACAAAGTTACCCCGCTTCCTATAAACGCCCTGTCGTGCGTAGTGAGTCGTCCGTCTGAGCACTATCCAGCAACCGATCTGCTTGGCATTCAAGATGAGACGAGATTGGGTGCATTCCGGGTGACGTGGTCAGAGGCTTGCGTACAGTAATAGCCGAGCCGGGCCAAATATTTCGCAGATCGCTCTGTGAGGGGGGGGGGGGGAGCCACACGCGTAAAAACGAAAGATGTCAGATCGCCTCCAGCTCAATCGAGTAGCCCTCATCACCTTCAACGGCTTTGAGTGGCCCAGGTCGGTAGAAATTCCACATTCCTGCGAAGGGGCCAGTCTCTCCATGGGACCCCCCCCCCCCCCCCCCATTATTGACTTTCGGTCCATTGCAAAGAGGCTCGTAAAAATCCCCGTTACTCAGGCGGGTTGTGTTTTAGTCTGCTACATGCACAGCCCGTTTGTCAATTCCACCGCCCCCCCCCCACCCCCCAGGTCTTGGGTGTTATTTGACCGCACTTCACCATGTTGGTCTGTGAGGGCTTGAAGGCGCGGGGGTTGCGCTACGTGTGTGGCACAATTACAGCAGCTCCGGGCACGGGCTCACGTGACCACTTTACACGTTTGGCGATGACTCTTTGTTCAATGTTCGATGCTGGCATGCTGCGACGATTAGGACGCCGGACTTGCGATCCGGAGATCACCGGTCCCATTCAATGTCCCGGCGCGGCAGTCGGAACGAGTTTCTCCATCTTAAATTTTTTAAATCAATCTCCCCGAATCTGGTCCGGCCACGGTTTCACCATGGCTGGCTATGTACGGCAATGTGCAAAAGAAGGTCAAAACAAAGACAAAGATCCCCCGTATAGCCTGTAACCGACTGTTGGGGCAAGTGCTGTTGGTGAGCACTGATGAAGGCCGGCACGGCACACGAGGGGGTGGGTGGCCAGTTGCGATGTTTACACACTGCACCAGGTACTAATTTGAGGCTGAGTCGACCTAGGGGAGGCCCAGGGCCGGTTCAGATAATTATAATTGTCACTAGTGTTGGCCGTGAGCGGGAATCGAACTCGGGTAGCCGAGTTCGTAGTGCAGCGTAGCGCGAACCTCTACACCACTACTCCCCACAACATACATACATACAAAGCGTGTGGATACTTCCACATCTTCCAGGACGTCTGGCCAGCGTGGAAGGAGTAGGCCAAAATACCCTCTTAAAGCGGCTCTCTATAGAGCTCCCTCCAGGTTAAAGCTCTTCCGCCAGCAGTTGCCCGAGCCAAGCAATTGCGCGGCTGTGCCTTTTTGCTCTTGTTGAGCGTTCTTCCGTTGTTGTTTTAAAGAGCACTTTGCGCACATGATGTTTCAGCACTCAATTATTGGTTCACGGAAGCCTCCTCTTTGAAGTAAGAGTCCCCTGTTGTGTGTGTTCGTGTTTGTGCGTGTTTGTGCGTGCGTGTGTTTGTGTACGCGCGCTAGCGTGGTGCCATTATGCGCAGTTTTAAATGCAGAATGCCCCTGCCGGTCCTGTGTCTTTATTGGGCCGAAGGAATGCCGGCCAGAATAGTTGGGAGTGTAGTGAGCAGCGTGCGGCACTCCCACACAAAGGTGCGTCGGGCACCCTCGGGTTATAAAAAAAACATGCCCGGCCAGTTTTCGGCCAAGATGGAGGCCGCCTTGTTACTCGCGAGCAGGACAAATGTGTGCCTGCATTTGGAATATCCGTTGGCGTGCTTTGTCTGCAGGGGCCTTATAATGAAATGTTTATGCTTGCCTTTGCCAAAGGCCACGCAGTTCCAAAGTCTATTGGTCTCGGCGTAAATGACATTTTTCCGGCGATGACATTGGCACACAGTAGCCTGCTCTGGTTGAATGATATCAACACTGATCTGTTTTTTTTTTAAGTCAAATTATGTTCCTGGGGGTGTTGGAGAACCCAGTTTCTCCCCCGCTGCCCACGATAGAAGTCAGGGTGAAGAAACAGTCAGGTTTGGTTGACGAACCAGCACTCAACCGTTTCACTCTAGTCACTCGCCCACCAGCAGTCAGCCGCCTCCTTACCACTCTTCTATCGCTCCTGCCGTTGTTACTTTTCCCGTGAGCTTCACTCATCAATTCCTCTAGGATTCGGTTTACCAGACCGACCCGTGTCACCTCATCCGCCCGGTGTTCAGCCACCGCGCCGCAGGTCACAAAACTTTTAACAGCCACCATTGACTCGCCAACAAAGTGGTGCTCAATTTAATGGAAGGATGACAGATTAAGGTGATCCCTGAACCGGGATTTGAGTGTGAGGAAAGTGCTGCTTTTCCCGCTGGGACCGCCTCGGTCACATTTACCGGGGGCCGACAGATTTTGTCGTAATTAGTGACCACACTCCTGGACGGAAACACCCAGCGGTGCTCGGGTCACCAGAGCAGCCCCCAAAAACACAAAGAACACAAATGTTCTTCCCCGCCGACAACGGCAGAAATGAATTAATTAAATTCAGAGCGGCTGACCGAACGGCACCGGGCGACGTGGCACGGTGTAGTCGACAGACCGCGGACGCGCAGCCCACGGGTATTGGTCCACTCGCTGAAGATGACCGGACGTGCAGGCGCGGCACCAATGTGGAAACGTCGAATGCTCGAAGACTTTCGCGCGCAGCCCAAGGCCCGTTAACGAACGCGTTCAGCGCCATTACTCAGGCTCGACTCGCAGCAGCTTTGAATACATAAATATACACGGCTAATTGTGCGCAAGATCATCGGGACGGTCTCCCGGTGCCGCTCGGTATCACACATTGATTGTGGGTAACAGCATCTACACTGTGTGAGCAGAGCAGCTCACTCCTCAGCTCTGTCTCCACGTGTAAACAAAAGCATGTTTAGTGAGTCCATTGGTGGGTATTGTCTTTACACACCAATGGTACCCAGTGGCATTTGTTTAACTAAGCGAACTCTGGACCGGTTTCGGATCCTTCTTGCATGTCATCAGTCGGCCTTGTTAAACAAATGCTGCTGGATTGCCAGATGTTATTGGCAAGAGGACTCCGTATAAACAAAGGTGACCTGTTCAGTCTGTTGTGTGAATCTGCATAATAAATGTGCTAGCGTGTGTGTGAATCTAGAACCTACAGTCGTGTGAATCTAGAAGCTACAGTGGACTGAATATTGACAATATGTCGGTCATCATTATCATCACAATCCATGGTTAGATAGCACGTAAGTGTCTACTGCACATTTCGTCATTTGTTTCCACTTTCCTCTGTCTTGTGCTAATATGCTCAAGTAGTGCACATCTGTCGGTGCACGAATCTATAGAGTCTACATGAACCGCGGGACCCTGTTCAACGCAACGGCAAAACCACACGCGTCATGTTGCTCTGCCGAGGGGCGTCGCATTAAAAAAATAACCTGTGGTTGTTCCCGCGCAGGCGAGCGTCTTCCCAAGCCCGAGAAGGGCAAGATGCGCGTCCACAAGATCAACAACGTCAACAAGGCGCTGGACTTCATCGCAAGCAAGGGCGTCAAGCTGGTCTCCATCGGAGCTGAGGGTGAGGTATCCACACTACAGCCCCCGTGGCGTCGGTGTGGGGGGCTGAATATGACTAAGGTCTCCCCCCTCCCACTGCGGCCGGAGTGCATCGTGTTCGGGAACAAGGAGGGCAGGCCCACGATTTCGGAGCATTGCAGACACTTTAAAGATGTGGCGAGTCGTCGTCAGTACGGTCACAAAGTGGCTTTTTCACTCGGGCAGAGGATTGTTGAGCTATTAGGAGTGGGATTTGGATACATATAATTTGTCCACCACCCATCTTGATAGTGAGGAAATGCTCGTAAAATACCGCTGCTTCGGACGTACTCGGACGGAAGTAGCTTTAAGTGACGTTGGAATGGTAAACGCCACAGTGGCGATATGTGAATTACCTCACCTGGTATCCAGAAGGTTGTGGGTTTGATCCCGTTGTTTAATATGTTGGGTGGAGGAGGGTGTACGGACACACATTTTATTACTCGCGCAATCTCACCCAAAAATACATTGTGAATAAGGGTAGCAGTGATCGACTTCCCAAAAAGTTATTTTCCGTATTTCCAACCGACACATCAGCCCTGCGCTGCCTCTGCTGGTGCGTGACGTAGATACGGACGCCATTGTGCGCGTACGTCAACGAGCATGTGCGGACGCGAATCTCGAAACCGCGGCCGGAATGCGTTGGTCACTTCGCGTGAATTGTACGGCAGCCTTTTGAAATCCGAGCGATGAATCGCGAGGGTCGCGCACGTCGTCGTCGGCACGCTAGGGTCGCGACGCGGCGAGTCGGTGGCCCGCGGTGTCCTCCGTGGCGTGCGAGACGCCGCCCTCGTGCGCGACCCGTCGCGCCGCTTTTATAAACGTGCCGCACCCTCCACCGCGCCGCTTTGTGCTGTTTAAAAAAACGATTATTCGGTCACCCCCCACGCCCCGCCTCTTTTGCAATGGCCGGAAATGTCACGGCGTACAAGGCCGGACCTCGATGCTAGTTTCCCCCATCCTTTGTCGAGCTGTGCAAGTTGCCCGCTCCCGTTGACCTTCGCGCGGCCTCTGTCGTCATCCGAGTCGTGTGGCACTCGGAAAAATTCGTCACCGGGCGGGAGACGTTATATACACTCGCGCATTTTTTCTGCGTGACCTCACACCCGCTGAGATAACGCTCGCAATCAACGCTGGTCTATTCTCGTGACGACCCCGCATACCGAGCGTTCTCGCGTGACACGTTTCGGATTTTTTATCGCAAAAGATGTTGAGCCCGCGAGCGTGACTTGAGATGCGGTGCCTGCCGGCAGAGACATTCCACGTTGCGTGAATGTGGTAGGAGATGACCGCAAAGATGTTTTTGAAGTTTGTTTATCGTTGCCACACTCCGTCACCAACTTGTTCTTTCTTGCAGTGACCTTATTTGCTCATCGGTGTGAAGGCTGTCTCACTTGCACCTCGTCTGTCCTCATCTTACTCATTGTCTCACCAGCCCTGCTGAACTACCGTTTGCCTCGCTTCCTCCTCCTCTGCACCCCCTGCTAATGAACTCTGGAACCCATAACCCTCCTCGTTTCTATGCTCTACTGCTAAACTTTGGAAATTATCACCCTCCTCCTTCACATCCGGTAAAGGTGAACTCTGAACTGCTCACCTGCATCTATCTCCTCACCCGATAATGCCTCTCAGTCTCGTAAGTCTACTGTCAACCGTTGACAATCCCCTGCAGTTGTGCTGTCACTGACGAAGATTAGCGTTCGTGAGAGGTCGAGACTCTGGACCTTGTGTCAGCGACTTTCAATGTTGGCGTAGGGGGAATCGCACAGTTCTGGAAATGCGTGGCTCACACTCACAGGCATACGCTCTCTCTGCCCGTGCAGCTGATGGAATTTAAAGGACGCTCGCGCTTGTAATCCAACACACTGTGGAGGCAGCAAGGGTTGGTGGATTGCACAAATGTTACGGATACTCCCTTCCTGTAGCCATCGAGGAGGAGCCATACCTTGGCCTCGCCAGAAGGCGGCTCAGAAATAAATGCAAAACTCCACCTGTTTCATCGCACGGGTGCTCCGGTTTCCTCCCACAGGTATAAACACTCATTCATTGGGCGATAACGACTTAATATACATAGAAGGCCGCAGAGCTTATGGGGTGAATTTGGTGCCATCTCACCGTCTCGCTGCTGCCTTCCCCACTCGTCCGTGGTTCCTCCTCGCGCCCCTGAGTCTACAAGAGTGGATACCGTGCGGTGCCGCGTTTCGCGTTGACGTAAAAAAAAACATTGTTATTAAAAAATCTGATCTGATACTCCAACTGATAATTAATTCATTATTCGTTGCAATAAGTAATTCTTCGCCTATTGTTCATCCACTGCTGGGTTAAGGCCTCCCCGCAGAGCAAGTGGTCACAAGGGGGTTGTTTAACTATACTTCACCCATGCTGGTCAGTGCAGGTTAGTGAAGAGGGAACTCGGGATCGATTTGGAAATGACTGGCCACCAATGGCCAGAAATCGAACTCGGACCCCTGAGTCGACAGCGTAGTAGTGCGCTAGCCACTGTGCCACCACTCGAGCCAAATTCTCCATGCGAGCGATTCTCATTTTAAACTTGGGCAGACTTATTCGATTGAAACGTGTGAAAAACATTCCCCGTCACGTCCAACCGTCCGTGGTGAGGAACGGGTTGTGTGTTTCAGTGCCCTGTCAAGTTGTGTGACAAATCGTCGATATTTTTGATATGCTTTTTTAAGTGTGATCTTCAAAAATTATTTTTTTACTAACATGACGATTCCGGTACACAACAAAGGATATTAAAGGGGGTTGACACCAGTACAACACACATTACGGATTACAGTGCAATGCAAACCCACACCTGTCAACCCCTTATCAGTGCCTACCTTATTACAGACCAATTCAGACCTTATTAGTCACCCCGTGCCCTTATAAATCTCAACGTTCATCCTACAAAGTCCGATCGCAAGGGAGAAACACAAACAAATACATCATTTTTTCCGTATTGAAATGGCTGTACACCGTATGGACCTGAAAACTCAATTTCCTCATACAAGAATACGGGTAAATCGTATGGGTTGACACGGTATGGAAACCAATCTAAACCGCATGTTTCAATAAACCGTTTCAATACATTGTACAATCCTGGTGCCTTCATAAGCTCTGATAGCCCTGTAGGAGAAGGGAAACAGGGGAGGGGCGAAGTGGAGAGAGGGGTGGAGTGCGAAAGTGCCCGCATGAATGCTCTTCAGAATCAATGCCCACTGGAGGAGAGGTCGTGAAAGGGGTTCCATCTTCGGTGGTAAGCTTCCTTCCTGCCCCGTGGTGTTGCACTTCGATGCTCTAGAGCGGCCTTTATGCATCATCTTCCCACCGTGAATTTTTTACCTTTACGATCCAGAAAACACTCGTTTATGACCTCCCTTGGCCAACTGTCAAACATCACCACGAGGGGCTGTTGGGATTCCTGCCACCCAGAAACGTTGGCCCTCGTCACTTTTCCTCCCAGCTTGCAAAGTTTTCCTGTTGCTTCCAGTGAGATTCCTGGCAATGGTCCCACTCTGACAACTGCCTTTATTCGTACCTTAGTCTCAACCCGCAAGATACCCTCGGCTGCATTGTGTCCCGAGGCTGTATCTGTGGTTGATTTACTCGCACCCGTGACACCGTTTTTATTTGCTTTCAAGCTCTTTGTTGTTTGACCTGTTTGCAGTAAGTTCTAGTGTGGTTTTGGTGTAAGTAATGTATTGTTTGTTGCTCCTTGTTTGTATGTATGCATGTTGAACTTCTTTGCACGCACACATTCCCTCCACGCTGTGATGTCGTGCAACTGCCGATGGTCTTGGGCTGTGGTCTGTAAGTCTCGATGTAACTCTATGGATCTCTATGTAACTCTGTGGATCTCTATGTAACTCTGTGAATCTCTATGGATCTCTATGTAACTTTGTAGATCTCGATGTAACTCTGTGTATCTATAACTCTATGGATCTCTATGTAACTCTATGGATCTCTATGTAACTCTGTGGATCTCTATGTAACTCCGTGAATCTCTATGGATCTCTATGTAACTCTGTGGATCTCTATGTAACTCTGTGAATCTCTATGGATCTCTATGTAACTCTGTAGATCTCGATGTAACTCTGTGAATCTCTATGGATCTCTATGTAACTCTGTGGATCTCTATGTAACTCTGTGAATCTCTATGGATATCTATGTAACTCTGTGGATCTCTATGTAACTCTGTGTATCTATAACTCTATGGATCTCTATGTAACTCGATGGATCTCTATGTAACTCTGTGAATCTCTATGGATCTCTATGTAACTGTAGATCTCGATGCAACTCTGTGATCTATAACTCTATGGATCTCTATGTAACTCTATGGATCTCTATGTTACCGTGTAACTGCAATGCCATGTACCTACTGCCACTGCTGATGGTCTGGTGCTGTGGTTGCTGTTGTAAGAAAGCAGCTTCGCTCAATGGGCCCTTCCTTGGCCAGCTGAAATGAATCCTGAGTTGGAGTCTGGAAATGTGTTCAAGGGACTCCAGTAGGCTCTGCCACAAATGTGTGTTCTTTACCTGACAACATGGAGCACCGAGGATTTCATCATCATCATCGTCCGTTAACATTTACAAGCTACCCTTTCAGTGCAACTCGAAGTGCCTGGAGCAAAGGGTAATTTGAGATAATGAGTCTGCAAGGAAGTGATTGCAGACCAAATACAATATTCAAACACAATGCAACATAGACAACACACGTACAGTGCTGATTGCTGGCTGGGTATTCATGACCTCGATGATGAAATTATTTCACTCTCTCTGATTTTGGGATATTCTATATTCTGTTGGTTTGAGACTGTCTGCCCCGGATACATTCACAATTCTGGCAAGTCGGTCTTAATCTCTGCCTACCTTTGTTCCTTTATTTCCTTCCACTTTACCAAAGGCCACGACTCTCTCCGCGTGTTCCCCCCGATCGCACCTTTAGGACTCGGTCTAGCTGGCTGGCTCTTTTGTCTCCTCCAC